AATGCAATCAACAGTTTTAGGACCTATCTTAGTCTTTTTAGGACTAGGTATAGCCACTTTAGCCAAACACCCCCATACTTTTAAGTATTTGTAAGATGATACTCTTCCATGCCATATTTCATAAGGTGTTTGATTTACTTTCTTTCGGGATACTTTATTAAGTATATAATTAGTAGAAGCTATTGCTTTCCCCCACAAGTTCTGAGATAATCAAAAACTTATTAACATGGCATTCATCATTTCTTTTAAAATCCTATTTTTCCTTTCAGCAATTCCATTTTGCTAGGGTGAATAAGGAGCGGTGGTTTGATGAATTATTCCATGTTCTTTACAAAATTCACCAAAAGATGATTTATATTCACCACCTCTATCACTTCTAAGTTTCTTAATTTTCTTACCAAGTCGATTTTCAACTTCATTCTTATATTGAATGAAAGTTTCTAAAGCTTCATCCTTGGTCCGAATTAAGTAAACGTAACTATATCTAGTATAGTCATCTATAAAAGTGATAAAATATTTTTTCTCACTTCTAGTTTAAATTGATTTAAAATCGGAAATGTCACTATGAATTAATTCAAGTGGTTCCGTACTTCTTTCAATTGAATGAAAATGACTTTTGGATGATTTTGCCTCAACACAAATTTCACATTTATGTTTTAAATCAATGTCAAACTTAGGTAAACATTCCATATTTATTAATCTACACAAAGATCCATAATTAACATGTCCAAGTCTGTCATGCCATAAATTTGAAGACTTAATCAAGTAAGAAAAAGATGTATTTTTATTAATAATAGAGGGTATGACAGTTATTACATTCATTTTGAAAAGGCCATCAGACATGTAACTTTTTCCTACATACATCCCATTTTTGGTAAGTACAAACTTGTCACTTTCAAAAACTAGCCTAAACCCATTTTTACTCAACAATTGCGAATGTCCGGTACATGCAGCACATTGTTGAGAGTGAGTTCCTTTCCAGATGCCATCTTCAGAATAATCTTTCATTGTCCTTCAACTTTGGAAGTTGAGGAGTTGTCCATAAAAAGTTGCTCACCGTTGTTCACTATAGAATAAGATGTGAACATCTTTTTGTCGACATAGATGTGGCGAGTAGCACCAGTGTCCACCCATCATTCTTTAGGATTTCCGACAAGGTTTGCCTCAAAAACAATTGTAGAAAGATTTATGTCATCGACACCATTGGAAATTTTGTCCGCTTTGGTCATATTGGCTTGAGCAGGCTTCTTGCTTGATCTTCCTTTGCCTTTGCTTTTACTATGACAATCTTTGGCCCAATGTCCCTCTTTGTCACAGATGTAACACTTGTCATTAAACTTGTACTTTTTAGTTTCCCCTCCTTAAGAACCTTGTAAGGAACTTTCTCCAGAAAACTTCTGTTTCTTGGCTTTTGGATCATGTTCCACCACATTTTCCTTAGACTCCATTGGATGCCTAGTAGCCGCTTCTCTGAATTGCGGTTGTTCTCCTCAATCCTCGAACGCATAATCAATTCTTCTAAAGACATTTCTTTGCGCTTGTGTTTGAAGTAGTTCTTGAATTCCTTCAAACCTTGCGGTAATTTCTCAATTAAGGCTACAACTTGGAAGGATTCACTGAGAGACATGCCTTTTGTGTGAATGTCATGCAGAATGAGTTGGAGATCTTGAACTTGGCTGATCATAGTCATAGAATCAACCATCACAAAGTCCAGAAATTTGCCAATCATAAATTTTTTTAAGCCAACATCTTCTGTTTTGTACTTTTTCTCCAAAGACTCCCAAAGTTCCTTTGCTGTCTTGATAGGACTGTAGATGTTGTATAATATGTTGTCAAGTCCGTTCAAGATGTAGTTCCGACAAAGAAAATCAATATGCTTTCAGGCATCGACCGTAACAACTACTTGCTGATCAGTTTCATTCTTGTTCAGAGTAGGAGCATTCTCACGGAGGAAACGAGCCAGGTTTAGAGTTGTAAGATAGAACAACATTTTTCTGTTGCCATCTTCTAAAATCAATTCCTGAGAACTTCTTTGACTTCTCACCGTGATTGACTGGCACACTTATAACAGGAGGAGAAGTAGGCGTAATTGCAGCCACCATACTAATACTTGTTTGAGGATTAGTTTCAGTAGCAATGAATTCTAATTATAAAACAAAATTATAATTAAAATTATATAATACACAGAAAATTTAAATCAAAATCACAGAATTAAATTCTGTAAAAATAAAAGAAATAAGAATTGTAACTTTTATTGCCAATTAATTTGAAAATAAAATAAAATTTTATCTAAACAAATTAATTGCACACAGAAAAATATTTCTGTAACATTTCAAAAATTAAAATATTGAAAATAGAATTTTAATTAATGAACACTCAGAAATTATTTCTGAAAATCAAAATTAATTTATGATAAATTTCACAAATAAATATTCTGAATTGTTAATGACATCAATATATTACTACTAGTTGTCAAAGAAAATTGACAGTATATTACTACTTCTATTAAACAGTATATTACTACTATTTGTTTTTCGAACGAGAATATTATTTTGTAAAACCACAAAAAATAATTTCTGTAAAAAGAAGAAAGAGAAAAGGAAACAAATGAAAAATTATATATAAATAGAATTATTCGAATCTGCCTTAAGATTGTTGGAACAATCTTCTGTGTAAAATAAATAAATTAAAACAAATCAAATATATAAAAATAAATTACTTACCGAATTTATTTTACTGACCCGAATAAACAATTAAAAGATCGACTCGAGTGTGTGACAGTTTGTCCTTAAGGCAGATTCTCCCCGCTACGGTGCTTACGGATAAATGGCGTTTATCTCCCAAGATACAATGATCTTCACAAATTGTAGTAGTACTCCAAACAATTTGTACGACGAACAAAACCTGTGTTCTAAACTCTTTGAATTTTTTCCTAAAAATTAAATATGAAGAACAACGCAACTAAAGAGCAAAACTAGAAGGAACCAAGAGAATTTCAAAGTTTTTTGGATGTTTTTCCAGCTTTCAATTTGCTGGAAATGAATATGAATTTATAGGTTTCATGACAGACCTTAACAGGTTTGAAATTTGAATGAACAGATGCAAATTCAAATTAGACAGGTACAAACAGATAACTGCTAGGCAGTTTCTATCTATTGGAAAACTGTTGGCAGTTTTGAATCTTTCTAGCAGTTTTGAATCTGTTCAGCAGTTAAGAAAACCTATTTAACAGTTGGGAATTATTGGAATTTGGATTTGAAAAGAGGAACAAATTTTGGACAAAAATTTGAATTCAAATTCAAATTATATTGGTGCAAAATTTAAATTAATTTTTTCCCACAAGAAATTTGGAAAAATTTCAAATAAATTTTGTCCAAAAATATAATATAAGAACCGGCCCGACCCACACCGAACACGGCTGGGCCAGCCGGCGACGCGAGCATGTGTGGTGGTTTTAGCCAAGATTTCATTTGTCCATAACTCCTTCCTTCTACAAACTTGGGATGCCCCTTGGAGCCCAACCCAAGTGTTGCCACCTAGAACTTATGTACATACATAAGTTCTTTTATGTTTCTAATGTGGGACAAGCCTTATAAGGAAATCCACATTTAATTCTTTAAATGTCCATTCCACGAACCCGAAAACGACGTCAAGATAGAATTTACCCATAAATGGTTTTGATGAACCGTCTTTACCATGTAACCTACTATGCGGTAAGAAACATATCACCTCTTTGGATCCACCCAAAAGACATGTGGGACCTACTCAATTTTGAATTCAAAATTGGCCCAAAATAAATATATAAAACCAAAATTTCCAACATATACAATGTACACCAATAAGGAGAAAGTTAGTGCAGAAAACAATATCATAGCCAAATTAATCTATCCTAAATAGGTTGGCATTAAAAAAATAAGTCCAATCATATATTAACACTGAATCATATATTAACAATCAATAGATGGGATCACTCAAAAAATTTAAACTCTACAAAATTTAAAAAATAAATTTAAACTTATTAACGTTTGAACTTCTACACATTCAAGTAAAATAAATTTCTAATAAAATATTATCATCTTAACAAGAAAATATACATAAACTTTTACTATCGTATTTGATGATGTGTTATTTTTTCCAATTATTTCATGATAATCTTGTTATCAACAGTGTCAAATATATAAATATATATTTTTTTTCTTCTAATTATTTCATGATAATCTTGTTATCAATAGTATCAAATATATATATGTATATATGTATTTGTATATAATGTCCTGCCCTAAACCATTTAATGATTGATCTCTTATTTGGTTTAAGTGTTGAAAAGAGAATCGTAATAGAAAAAAACTAGGTTCTTAATGAGTTTTGATTTCCAATTGTTGAGGTCCCTTAGTTTTTGGATAAATTGTCAATAGATCCTAATAGTTAGACTTAACTTTCATAAAGCCCTATTGAAAATAAGTCATAATAAAATCATTGCTAAAAATAATTTTTTGTGATGATTTTTTTGTATATATTGTTAAAAATTGACAATTAAAAACTTTTTTATGTCACGATTTTTATAAATTAGCGTTAAAATTTATAATTAATGACTTTTTTTTGTGACGAGTTTTCAAACTATTACTGAAAGTTAAAAATTAGTGAAATTTTTTTGACGATTTTTTAAAACTATTACTAAAACTTATAATTAGTGACATTTTTTATAACAAAATTTTCAACCTATCATTGAAAATTAACAATTAGTGATTTTTTAATAGTGTTTGATGAAAACGTCATTAATTATCATAAAAGTTATCAGACAATAAATCCACCTATTAACACTATACATAACTCTCTATTTATAAATAAATAAGGCTCTTGACGGTACCAATCACCCCGTGAGTGGGGTCGCTCGCCCCTGCTTTGTTCTAAGCTTAATATAGGGTTAAAGTTTAAAACACTTTAGATTGCGTTTGAACAAAGATTTGAAGGGGAATTTTGTAGAGAGACTGAATACTTTACGCCACTTCAAATACAAATCCTGGAGTACAATTGATGTGCAAATGCATGGATATTGGTGTCAAGCTAGCAGACGCAGCAATCAATTAGGAAGGGTGACTAGCTAGCTATCGAATTTGGGACACTTCACACTTGGTACGTAACCCTGTATATTAATGCATGCAATTTCATTTAACAATTTCTATTTTATTTTATTATAAATTTTATTGATATTTTAACATAGTTGTTTCTTCGTTGTTTGCCATTCCATATTTGTTAGATTACATATTTCTGGGTGTCTAGATTCAGTGTTAAGAGAGATAGATTTGTGTTATTGAAATTTTAATATGAGTTGTTAAGTGAAGTGAGTATTGAATGTAATGGTTTTAAGTTTCATGTTGTGATCATCATCATCAAAAGAGGCAGAAGAAACCTTGCAAATGGGCAAGAAATTGCAGATTAATTTTGGGGGAAGAGAAGACATTTCTGAAAGATTTTATCGAGATGGAGCTGAGTAACAGAGCCAAACTCGGCAAGAAAACTAAACGTAATACTTAATGAGTTTGTAATTAATTATTAGAAGGCTAGTGGGATGTGATAGAAGTAGGGGAGGATGTTTGGTCCAGTGGGTGAAAAGTCTTTGAGTGCTTAAAGTTAGTGGGGGTGTGTTTGGTTTGTTAGGGGGTTGGGTGTTTTTTGGGAGCTTTTTGGAGGGGGAGTGGGGTAGCAAATTTGCATGCTAGATGATGAGTGGATTTGGTTAAGTCTGTAGGAGGGGAAGTGTTTTGTGGAGTTAAGATCTTTTAACTTCTTATTTTTGGTATCTGTTTAATTTTTTTTTTAATATTTTTTGTTGTTTTAAAATATAATCACGGGGCTTACGGGATAGTTGTATGGATGTAAATAGTAGTAGTAGGGGTTTCTTATACTTTTTGAATCTCTCTCGATGCATATCATCTTTCTGTACTTTTAATTCATATTTTGATGAAATTTTTCTTTACTGATAAAAAAAAAAAAAATCATCATCAAAAGTGGAGAAAGAAGGGTAAAACTCTCTCAATTCCAAGCTGAAGTATTAAACAAAAAAAGGTATTATGTTTATATACTAATTCACAAAGCTACAAGATGATTTGTGTTTGTGCATGCTGCCAACACCAACCCTTCAAGAGCTACAGGCTTATCATATATACTTATAAAACATGCTAGCATAACAATCTTTCATAGGTAGAGAAAGTTAGCAAATTAATGTAAGATTTTGGAGTTATGTGGTAAACTCAATAATAGATGCAACTAGTAGTTTTATATTAAAGTCACAAATAAAACAAATTATCAAAGAAAATCACCAAGGATAAGTAACCGAAGGCAGGCCTCACTTCCGTCGGAAAACCTGGTAGTTCTCTAATAGTTGTGCACATTAGCCCATGACTTCAAGGAGTTAGTAGGCATAATTTGGGACATGAGGGTGCGCTCCCTCTAAGTTTCAACTCTAATACTCACTAGTTCTAATAAGATTTTTGGAGTCAGTCCATATAGGATATTTGCTCCGACTTTAAATGGAGTCGGAACTGATCCACTGGGATTAGTCCAGGCGTGCGTAAGCTAACCTGGACATCCAATTATTCCAAAGGAAAAAAAAAAAGAATTAGCCCACAATTCCAACAATTTTGGTTGTAAAAAAAAAAAAAAAGGAAAAAAAATTAACCCATGAGTTCAACAATATTCTTTCAAGTTGCTCAACCGTATTGATTGAGTTCAATATGATTCAATTTGGTTTGGTTTAAAAGTAGATCTATGAACAAACCACTAATTACGGTTTCATAAAATTTAAAATCAAACTAAACTATAAAAAATTTATAATCAAGTTATTGCTCTATTTGGTTTGGAATTACAATTTTTGAAAATTTGTCATCTCTCATGACATGATCACAAAATGCTGCTCACAACCTGTTAAAATATCAAACAATAAGTCATCATTTTTCAAATAATAATCGTTTATATGATTTTAGAACTAGTTTTTTCATGGTACAAAAGCACATTTGTAGGTATATAGTGTTATAAACTTATGTACACATATATTTTGATCCATGAAAGTCAGGCTTGCTTTGGATATGACTTATTTTTTAATTTTTTTTACTTATTACAAAAAGATGTGTAAAAAAAATAGAGATATGATGTAACCTCAATAAGCCAATAAGCTACATTTTTTAGTTCATCACAGTTGTTAATTGTTAAATCAGCAATTATAAGGAGTTAGCCTCTACACCCTTTGCTAAACCCAAGTGCTTGATCCATTATATCAACTCTCTCTAGAGAGTTGAACCTAAACTCCCGCCGGATAGCTTTAAAAATCATGTTACTATACTTATGTATATATATATATATATATATATATAACCCCAAGGGTTTGGTCTGGTAGATGAGGATTAGGAATTGGAAGGTGTGCTCTCTCCAAAGTCTTAGGTTTGATTCCCCTTACTAGCAAAACTTTTGGGCGACAGACCGTAGAGAATTTACTTGTTTCAAAAGGCTTGTTTGGACTATAAAGATGTAATCTAATACATGTAAATTGGCTAGAGATACCTTACATAAAAAAATAAAAAATAAATAAAAAAAAGCATATGGGTTCATTTGGGAAGTGGGTTGGCTTTTTGGCATTTTTGGCTATTTTAGCTTAGGGCTAATTAGCCTGGTTTGGGAAGGGCTTGGCTTTTTTGGCTTTTTTGACTTTTTGGTAAGAGAAAGAATGTAATGATTATGAGTTGGATGTAATGTTTTGTCTTATTGAACTAAAAAGTCTATTTTGTTTTTTGTGGCTAAAATAATCAAAAAAATCCCAAGTTGGGCTTCCCAATGTAGACAGTCCAAATATCATCTCTCTCAAAAGAGGGGAATATGCAATACTAGTCCAATGGTATTATATATCCCTCACTATCGATATAGATTTAGTTTTTATCCAACGATCAAAAATAATTATTCTCTTTTTATTCTATTCTATATCACATCCTAACCAAACATAGTAAAAATAATCCCATAATATATATGTGTGTGTGTGTAATTCATCTCATATCTTAAATATATTATATCATACTTTATATTCTTAAATATTACATATTATCCTCAAACTTTTATATATAGTCTGGACTATGAAACAAGATCTTAGAATAACCAGGACAATTGGTTTGGTGATTGTGTAACACCTTTTGTGGTGTGAGGTCTCAATTCCTTCAATAGCCTTTGTGATGGTGTTTATTTCACTGCATTATGGGATTGCATGAAAGTAGTAGTGGAGTGATTTCTAGGCTTGGACTTAGTGAGCTTGATAATTAATTGTTTGACAAATTTTGTTGACTTTTTTTTTAAAATTGTTATGGACTAGTAGTGTGATGATGCAATATTTCTCATATTTATAATTATTTTTTATCTATGAAAAAAAGAAACTCAGAGTATTTAGTAATAATTGCGAGTACTTGATAGACTTGAGTCATTTAATAACAAAGCAATGTACTAACAGGTAAAAGGAGGAGAATGCGATTTTCAATGGAGGAGATCTTTAATAATAATAGTAGTTCAACGAAGACCAGTAATAGAGAGGTGAAACAGGAAATCATGGTAATCGACGGTGGAGAAGAACCAAGTAAACGTAAAAGTGAAAGTGAAACGATGATCGAGGTAGAAGAGTCGTTGTTCACACCTCGAATACCGAGAGTTCCACCGGTGATGAGAAACCATGAAAATAACAAGGGAATGTTTGATCCAAAGGTGGTTTCTATAGGTCCATACCACCATGGCAAAGAGGATCTCCAGCTTGTAGAGAACATCAAGCCTAAGGTAGCAAAACTGTTTCTACAAGACAGCGGCAAGGATATGGCTGCGGTCTACAGCATGATTCTTGAAATGGTTGTTGATGAAAGGGGGGTTGATGATCCTAGAAGCTACTATGATAAATGTTCAACCGACAAATACAGTCGTGAGCAATTTGCAAATATGATGCTCTTGGATGGTTGTTTCATTCTAGCTATAATTGAGGACTCCTTCCTCTTTAATGCCAATCAAGGACCAAAATATGATGATTTTAGAAATCATCTAGGCATTCCACTTTGGTTTTCAACATTTGGAGACATATTTTACTTGCTTGAGAATCAACTCCCATTTCAAGTTCTTGAGTTGCTAATGAGCTTAAAATTCAAAGGAGATGAGGGGATGAAATCCATCAAGAAGGTATTGAAGTTTTTGATTTCTATGGACACTGGACATCTTGGGAATACGGAGGACGTTAATGTCAATCAAACCGATTGGGAATTGGCTCATCTCCTTCAATTGGTGCAGAAAAATTTTCTCAATCTCAATCGATCCCTTCACGTATCCAAATCTCAAATGGGCACAAGGAAGGGGAAAGACAAATTCCAATGTAAGTGCCGTCTTAAGGATTACATTGAACGGTGCCATAAGATATTCCGTTTTGTCAAGAAACACAAATATTCCAAACCTAAGTATAACCTGAAGGAACATGTTCGCTCATTTCGTTCAGTTACTGAGCTCAAAGAAAAAGGGATATACTTTACGCCTAACAGTTCTTTATCTCGTCAGGATATTGAGTTCAAATCTTGTTGCTTCTATGGACGTCTTGAACTTCATCCTGTCATAGTTCATGGAACGACCAAACTATTTTTCTCAAACATGCTTGCTTATGAAATGATTTCAAGCACTAGATTTGAGGACCTTGCCATTACCTCTTACGTTGATTTCATGAAATTACTGATTGACAACCAGGCCGATGTGAAAGAGTTGCGGTCAAAGCATGTACTATTCAACGCGATTGGCAATGATCAAGACGTGGCTAATGTTTTCAAAGAGATCACCATTTTTGGAACTAATGTCAAAATATATGCTGATGTCAAGCAGAGGATTCAGGATCACTATAACAGCACTGCCAAGACTTGGATGGCAGCTTGTATTAACAAATATTTTAGCGGACCATGGACAGCCATTGCTTTCGTCGCTGCAACTTGTCTATTTGTCTTGGCTTTTCTCCAGACTTACTACACTATCTCCCCTTGCTCATCCCATAAATAAAGAAAAAGTACGCCAACAAAATTTCACTACTAAATTTGTATTAATGCCTAAGTGCCAATTTGTTTTGATGTCTCTTCCGGTATTTTTCCTTTATTTGTTCTCTAGGTGTCATCAAGATTTGTGTGAGCAGGGGTACGTGTAACCCCTTCTACAATTTTTTTTGTGTGTGCATGTGCGTGCGTGCACGCGCGTTTGTCTGTTTTCTCATAATAATTGTGATTAGTGCTCTTGTAATTTGTGTTTTTGCGAGAAAACACAATAATAACTTTGTTCCTTGTTACTTGTTATCAGACTTATTTAAGAATAATGCTATATACACCAATTGGTATATTAATTAGTGTACTAACAGATAATGTGGCATAATTTTAGAGGTTTTGAGTATATGTAATTTGTATAATGGATGGGGTCAGTAATAATGATATAAGATATGTTGGTACATTAGTTGGTATACCAATTAGTGTATGTAGTACCACCGCTTATTTAATATTTTTCTTTTATATATTTTTTTTGGATGAGATTATAATACGATCACTTCTTAGAGCATCTCCAACGGTAATAGGCATTTTACCTATCTAAATATTACTATAAAGTATATATTTTATATTGCCTATCAACTATTTCATGTTTCTACTCCAACCATGCTCTTTATTTTAGCTATTCATCTAAATACTATTAATTTTATAAAATGCCACATCAGCAACAAAGATGGAGGGAAATGATCCTAATGATTAAATATATTTTGCCTAGTCTTGAAGGCTAGCTACATGTAGCTAGTGAATGTGAGTTGAGCTAAAATGCCTAATCATATGCCTAGTGCATTGGAGTTGAAAAAAATGAGTTATACTAAGCATTTTGACTAACAAGCATGATATGCCTAGTGGGTTGGAGATGCTCTTATTAACAAAAGTTAGAGAAGAAATACACGAAGATCTCTAATTGGTCCTTTTTGAAGAGAACCAAACCTCATCCACTTCACAATGGAACACTTCTCAAATAAACAATCTCCCTCTTCATTTATTAATCAAAAATGTTTTGAACCTCTAAAATAGAAGCTTTAAAAGAGCTTTAATTTGTCTCTTTTTCCATTTTTTTTCCCTTCTTTCTTTACTCTTGCCAGCTGCGTGGATTTCAATTTAGAGCTCTACACCTAGAGCACTATATCACAGCTCTTCATTAATATTGTTTTTGTTTTTATACCAGAGATAGTTTCAAACTCATCAACTACCCATGTCCTATAAGATAGGACACCCATGACTTCCCCTCACCAATTAATTAATTAAAAGATACCTAATATATTTTTGGAGAATTGTTATATATCATCGATTTTTTGTCATCGCTTTATATCATTTCTTATGCGGTACTTCCAATTAGTTTGGCTATTTGTTAAAAATTATTAAGCAATTAGTGAAAGAAAATAATATCTTGTCTTATAATTTGGTGATATAAAAAAGTTTGAGGAAAAAAATAGTGACCTATAGTAGTCCTCTATTAATATTATTTTTTAAATCAAAATACATATCATTCAAATTAAGAATGTTCAAATTATCTAGTGAACTGAAGAACTTAACCAAATCAACTTTTTTGGGTTGGGTTGGGTTGGGTTGATTTTTAAGTGTATTGGTTTGGTTCTAAGTCTTCAAATCATCAAACCGATAAAATTGGGTTGGTTCTTAGTCTAGGCCTTACTTAAGCCGAACTAACTAGAGAACTGAACTTATTTTCATATGTACTTTTTTTTAAAAAAAATATTTATAGAGTCATGCTATAGGCCTCGAATCCTGAGGCACGAATTTGCCTCAAATTTGTTTAACCGATCGTCCGACCAGTTGTCCGGCAAAGAGACTGACATCCGCAGTCGACAAGGTGGCAACCGTGGTAGACAAGTGCTTTACCCGGTCGTCCGGGTGGTCATCCGGCCGGTTGACCAGTAACCACAAATTCACGCCATTCACGCCTGAAGCTCTCGAGGCCTGAAGCATTAGTGTAAGAATTATTAGGTGAATGAAGTACTAAAAGTTTGAGTTAGATTTTACAATTGATTTAATTTGTATTCGTTGTATTAATAAGTTTAATTGAGTGGTGCTACATGCACCAATTGGCATATTAATTAGTGTATCAATATATCCTATGACATTGTCACTTTAAAATTATGAACCCCACCCATTATACAAACTACAAGACGCAAAGCCTCGAAAATTATGACTCATCATCCATTAGTATTGGTTACGTTTAAGCTTGAGTTACATTTAATTTGTATTAGTTTGCATTAAATAATATTTTTCACTTTGTTTGTATTATATTTAAATATTAAAGATTTGTTTATTTTAATTATTTATTATTGATTGATTTAATTATTTTTAATATAGTGGAACATTGGTTCCAACCCAACCTAAATTGGGTTGGTTTGGTGGTTTTATTGCATGATTGGTTTGGTTCTAAGTCTAAAAACTTGGAACCGATCATGATTAGGTTAATTCTAATTTAGTGTAAAACCGAACCAAACTGACCCATGAATATCCCTATTTCAAATCATGTCAATGAATCAATTGAAATTAATATAATTTCAATTAAATTAATTTTGACCTTGAATTTTTTACTTTGTCTTAAAAATCTTAATGGCATTATCAGTTTGACCAAATTGACGCAAAATTTAAAATTAATAATCAAAATTGAGTCAATTGAAACTATCAGACTAAAATGGCACAAACAATAAAACGTAGGAACTATCAATATAATTTGACCTAATTAATGAATATTAACATATTGCTTAAAAATCGCTGACTTTTGTTTTTTAATAATTTTGGCAGATAGTGAGTAATAATAATGTATGATATAGTAGAGAAGGTGCTTATAGTTGTGAGGTTGTTTCAGTTGGTGCTATTTGGTGATGATGCGGAATTGAAATACAGAGATAACAAATAAATAAATAATTCTCTACACAAATTATTTGGTGCATTCACACCAATAGAAAAATAACATTCTCTAAAATTGTGTTATTCTCTACACAAATCAACTGGTGCATTCACACGAAAATCAACATTTTTTAAAATTGTGTTTGGATCTGTTAAATTTTGGCTTAAAGCCTATTTCCAAATTGATTTTGTTTTGACGTAATATGTTTCCTATTGGATTTGGATTCTCACCAAGGACTCTTGGGCTATGAGGACACTATCACTTTTTGTTGGACTTCTCAGTTCCTTGGGGGCCTGCCGTTGGCCTCTTCGAAAATATTGTTGAAGGCTTTTCCTTACTTGGTGATCTTTCATGCATCTGTATTATTGGTCTTGGAAGATTCATGTTTGTCAATTTAGAGTAGATCTTGTTCGTAAATCTTTACTTGGCGTTCTACTTTAGATCTTGGTGGAGTTTCAACATCCTTAGAGATCTTGTGTTGACAGTCTTCCATAAGTTTTTGGCAACTTCTTTGAAGTCATGATTTGGTGAGATTTTATCCCTTGTTCTTGGTGAGTTTAAAGAGTTTTGATTCCCTCTCTCTCTCTCTCTCTCTCTCTCTCTTGCGTGGGGTCTATGGTTATATTTGCATAGATCCATTGGTGTCTCCTTATAAGATTTGTTTCTCGATGTCTCATGGTTTAAACTTCCGCTATGTTTGGATTGAGTGATTTGGAGAGAAAAGAAAAGAAAAGAAATAGAGAGTTATGTATTTCTCTTACTTATTTAGAGAATTTAAGTGGAGAGAAATGGAAAGAAACAGAGAGAAACTCATTTATCTTACAACTCTCATTTTCAATCTTCCCAAAAGTAGAGAGATTAGGAGAGAAAAGAAACTAATAGATTCTTATATTTTCATAATACCAATTTTGTCCTTGTAAAAATAAAAGAAATAAAATGATTGAAAATATAAAAAGGTTATTTTGGTAATATAACATAAGATAATTTTTTTCTTTTCTCTTATGAAATCTAACAAAATAAAAAGGAGAGAAATTATAATCATTTCTTTATTTTATTTCTTACTTATCCAAACAAAAATGGGAGAAATCATAATCATTTCATTTCATTTTATTTCTTTTCTCTTATAATTTAAGTAATCATTTCTTTTCTTTTCTTACACAGGTTCCCAAATTCGTGTTTTTTGAAACCTGTGTAGAATGGATTTTGGGCTTCATGATAGAACTATTTGGGTGATGAACATTGTGAGAAATTGCTTTGTCATTTTTTTTTATTTTTATTTTTATTTTTTATTTTTGCTAAAGAGAAATTGCTTTGTCACTATTATTAGTTCTTCTCTTCGAGTGGAATTCTTCTTTTGTGATTATCATGGACATAGGCTTTGGCCAAACTACGTGTAAATCTTGATCTTGTTAGTTTGTACTTTTTTGTCTCTTTTTAATTTGTATAGTTCTTCTATTTCATATTCAAAGTCATTAACTATCTTGTTGTGAATGAGTTTTCTAGAAACTTTCCGCACAACAGGATCTTGGGAGGGAAAAGAAAAGGAAAGTGGAAATTGAATAAGATAAAAAGTTTTTTCATCAATGAGTTTTTTTTTTTTTTTTTTTAACTTTTCCTTTCACAAATCTTTCATTAATCCAAAGCCAAGCACAACCAAAAGAAATGGAGCAACCAGTGGAAGAGGCATCAAGATTGTAGAATTTTCAACTATTTTCATGAAATTAATTTTTTTTTTAATCCCCCATTGCATATAAGATGACAAACTCACTTCAATTGCTTTGAACAAGATATAGAATCAGCTTTCTCATAAACAAAACACAAGATTTCACTCAAAATTGAATCCAAAAGGCTGATCTAAACATTGGAACTCCAAATGATGTAGTTTGCATTATACAATAAAAGGTAACCTCAATGCGTATTACAAAAGAGTCTCAAAATAACTCTACATTTCTTGTATATATATGTTGGGAAATTCAACTATACACACTCTTACCATATGCACTCTTAAATTATATAATTTTTTGATTAGTTATGACTATTTTTCTTCTTTAGTTATAATTTTATTTTATTTATGACTCATGAGATTTTTGGTTATGTCTTATGTGTTAATTGGTTATGACCTTTTTTTTTTTAAATTTTTTTTATAGTTATGACTCGAAAGATATGAAATTATATTATTTTCTTCTTTAGTTATAAGGTGCATAGGATATGTAGGGTGTGTACCATAGTCATTCCCATGTATATTTCGTTACCTTTCTTACATTTTCTTCACCTAGCAAAGATCTTGTGAAACCCCTAAATTTTGTAAATCTTAGTAAGGCTCCCACTTTTGAATTATTATAATAAAAGCCCTTAGCTCATAATTTATTCACGAAATTAACCTTA